CTCTCTGCTCTGTCTCTCTGCTCTCTGTATGTATGTATATTTATTCTTAGTGTCTGTCTGTCTCTGTCTGGCTTTCTCTCTCTTCTTCTCCCCTTCCCTCCCTCCCGTCCTCTCTTTATCTTTTTCTTCCTCTCTCCCTCTCTCCTTTCTCTCCTTCTGTCTCCCTCTGTCTCTCCATCTCTGTCTCTCTCTCTCCCTCTCCCTCTCCTCTCTCTCTCCTTCGTCTCTCCCTGTCTCTGTCTCTGTCTCTCCCCCCTCTCTCTCTCCTCTCTCTCTCCATTTCTGTCTCTCTCTCTCCCCTCTCCTCTCCTCTCTCTCCTTCCTATCTCCCTCTGTCTCTCCATCTCTGTCTCTCTCCCCCCTCTCCTCTCCTCTCTCTCCTTCCTATCTCCCTCTGTCTCTCCATCTCTGTCTTTCTCTCCCCCTCTCTCTCCTCTGTGTCCTTCCTCACTCCCTCTGTCTCTCTCCCCTCCTCTCTCTCCTTTCTCTCCTTCCTCTCTCCCTCTGTCTCTCCATCTCTGTCTCTCTCTCTCTCCCCCTCTCCTTCCTCTGTCCCTCTGTCTCTCCCCTTCTCTCTCCTCTCTCCCTCTGTCTCTCCATCTCTGTCTCTCTCTCTCCCCCTCTCTCTCCTTCCTCATTCCCTCTGTCCCTCCATCTCTGTCTCTCTCTCTCCCCCCTCTCCTCTCCTCTCTCTCTCTCTGTCTCTCCATCTCTGTCTCTCTCTCTCCCCCCTCTCCTCTCCTCTCTCTCCTTCCTATCTCCCTCTGTCTCTCCATCTCTGTCTCTCTCCCTCTCCCTCTCCTCTCTCTCTCCTTCGTCTCTCCCTGTCTCTGTCTCTGTCTCTTTCCCCTCTTCTCTCTCCTCTCTCTCCTTCTTCTCTCCTTTCACCATGTCAATTGGAAGAGTTTGGTTGGGTAAACAAGTCCGTGTTTGGATTGATGTCTTTTGATGAATGAAGACAACAATAACTGGCATTGACCTAGAGCTTGGAGTTTTTCAAAGCTCTTCTTCATCTCTGTGATCTCATTTGAGCTTCACAACAACCTGTGAGGAAGGCAGCACAAGGGGCAGGGGAGAGAACGTTAGCCCTGGGTCAGAGACCCTCAGACCCTGGGCCTGTGACAGGGGTGCTTGGGCTACAGACTTCCAGATCCCGTGACCTTGTCTGAAGCATAAGTGAGGGGACAACATGGCCTCATCTATCAAATGAGGGAGCTGGCCTCAGTGGCCTCTAAGTCTTTCTGTTCTCGCTCTGTGACCCTAAGAGAAAGGGGCGGAATTGAACACTCTTCACTCCAAGTCCAGAATGCTAACTATGAGGCCTCAGTATCTCCCAAGGAAGTTGATGGCTGAAAAGAAATGATGGGAAATGAGTTAATCAATAGAGTCTCCTTCATAAAGCTGTACTCGATTGTACTCTGACTCTGCAAGTTGGGTGAACATATACCCCCCACACACATACACACACAAACTCACATATTCATATGCAAATACACATATACATACACACAGAGAAACACATGTACATATGCACATACAAACACAATATATGATGCAAACATATGTATACACAAACCACAGAGAACCATGCTCACATGTAAGCATGTGTATACATGCAAACATATACATGCAAACATAAGAAACACACAGCACATATACATAGAAACATATGTACACACATGGATGTGTCAATACGCATAAGCACACCAACACAGAGAAACACACATGTACACACAAACACACACATGAGTACACATATATACATGCGAACACACAGAAACACATACCCAAGCAAACACATTCATGTACACAAAAATATACACAGAAACACAGAAACATATAGTCACACACAAACACATACACATGTAACTGAAGGACCAGGAAAATACATGCAAGGTGAAACCAGGTTAGCACAATGCCTGCACTGTGCAGAAGACAAGCTGTCCTGCACTGCCATGCTATGGACTATATGGAAATGTGAGACCCTCTGCCACCACCTCCCACCCAAAGTAGAAAAGGGCTTCTGCACAGATAAAAGGCTGAAAGACTAGAAAGGGCAGTGGCCATTTATAGAAAAAGAGCCAAGAAAGAAATGAGAATGGGCGCTTTTAGAGCAGCTGAGCGCGGTCAGGCCCTTGGTTCCTAGGTAGAAGATTTCATTCCTGTCTCAAGTGAAGGCTTATGGGAACCCAAGCTTCAGGCCTTTGTGGCAGGCCTGGGAGCATGGGCAAATGGAAAAAAACAAATTCCTGGCAAGCAGCAACTTGGAGATGGGACAAAAAAAAAAACCCAAGCCCTCAGTCCTATAGCATATTTCCTCCTTTACTGAATACATGTTAACATGCCCAGAAAAAAAAAAAAACAACTTTCTTTAATCTTTTACTGATTCCCAAACTTATTTTTAATTTCTGCCTTTCACTTTTTATTTCCTCCACCACAGATGGCAGCAGGGACAACAGAAGCCTGTAAAAGTGAGACTTAAAAGGCTTTCTTTTCTTTTTTTGGCTTTTAAAACATTACGCGTGATTCCATGCAAGTCCCACACCCTCCTCCCACTCTTACATTTTTCCTCCTGGTGCATTAATAGGACGCAGCTTTGGGGAAAGCAGGAAACTGAGTAGAGTCCTCATCAATCATCCTGCTTGCTGCCTATTAAAAAGACTTTGAAATAATCCTGAAGATGGCACCACTATTTAAAAAAAAATTAAGAGCTAGATAGGAGAATATAGCTTTTACTCCATTTTCCTCTTTATTGTACCTGGGGCAGCAACACCGTCAAGGTAATGGCGTGGGATGTCACGATGGTTGGCTCCTGGTTAACTGACACAGGAGGGCTCATGAAACCCGAGTCACTTACCGATCTGGAACAGATAGCTCAGTGGTGAGGAGAGCCTATCACAGAGCTAATGGCTTAGCCTAACCCTATTATTTAAAGGAACAAAGAGGACATTCAACCCTTCATGGCAGTGTTCAGCCAGTAGGACAAAGGAGACACGCTATATTTTTAATCAGCTTTTCCTGAGCCGTGTTCCAAGGTTTTTGCCATGTGAGTACAGAAGGATGAGTTTAAAGGACCAGATAAGCGGGCTCCAAGCGAGATTTAGAGCTGGAAGAGGCCTTGGAGGTGGGTGTAGTCCATCCCTTTCAGTGGCACTTAGAACATTTATTAGTGCCTGTCACACAGTAAGTGCTTAGTAAATGCTTGTTGACTTGACTTAGACCTACCCAATATCACCTAAGTTATAAGTGACAGAAGCAGGATTTGAACCCAAGTCCACTGATTCCAAAGCTGGTGCTCTTTTCCTTGTACCCTTGGAAGCAACTCACTTTGGGATCCCTCCAGAAGAGCTCAACAGAACAAGAATCCAGGGACCTAGATGCAAATCCTCTGCCCAGAATTAACAGGACACCCCCTTTCCTTCTTAGATTGGTGTATGCTATTTCTTTAATTCCCAGTAGTAATTTGAGGATCTCTGGTTCCAGACTTGTTTGGCAGCCCAAAGGGCAGGGAGCAGAAATAAAGGTAGAAATAAGAAAGTTGTTGGTGGTATATTTTCACGATCAAGGCTTTTAATGCCAGAGAGGAAAAAAAATAAAAAAGATCAGCTTGCTTAAGCACAGAAGAATTGGTCTCCCAGGCATCTCTCAGCTCTGATTCAATCTGTTGCTTTTAGAGGCTGGCCAAGGGCAGGGGCCGTAAGCAAGGGACCCAGGTGGGCAGAGAGATCCATGGACCCTGGAGAAGCAACATTTGATAGCAACAGTAGTAATCCTGGACCTCCTCTGGGGATGCCAGGTGCTAGGGGAGGTCTAAGGTTTACAGAAGACCGTACCTCTGCCCTTAAGGTTGGATGGCTATCTGTCAGGAAATTGTAGGAGAGATTTCTGCTTTGGAGAAGCCTTTGGACTAGATGACCTTTAGCTTATAGCCGAACAGCTCCAGGCATTCAGTCAATGTACTCAGATGTAGTGACGGACAGAGATTTTGAAATGAACATTAGCTGTGATGAGGCAAAGCCCAAGGAGAATGAATGTACACTGCGTGTATGTACACTGTGGATATATTCTATCTCTACTTCTGTTCTGAATGATGTATCACTACACAAAAAGGTAAATAATTACCTTTGAGCGTGAAGGGCCCCTTTCGTGCATGTCTTCCTACTCAGGCATGGTCTGTATCAATTTCCAGGCATGTTTTGGGTCAGCATTTACTCAAAATCAAAGGCTAAGAGCCCCCACTGATGTTTTTCTTTTGCCAGTCAATCAGAATGGAACCATTAGTTTAAACACTTAATTAAACAGTGAAGCAAAATAAAAGACAAGGGAAGGCCACCCATACACACAGGATATACTCCCCTCCCTCCCCCTCAGATTAACATGACCTCTCTAGAGGGCACATAAATAGGAACTGTGCCTAGCCAGGGTAATTAATGATGGTAGGCTGTTGTACCTGCTAGGACACATCCCTGTCTCTGATGCTGCTATTTACTTACTTCCCAGAAACTCCCTGGATGGGATCTGCCAGTCTGCTGAGGTCATCTGATTATGAACTGCTTTCTCTGCTGCTGTATACTGATGCAATGCTCTGCTATTCTTTTCTCTCTGCTAGATGGCACAGGGAATACAGTGCTGTGCCTGGACTTACGAAGTCATGAGTTCAAATGTGGCCTTAGACATTTACTAGCTGTGTGACCCTGGGCAAGTCACTTAACCTTGTTCATCTCAGTTCCCTCCTCTGTAAAATGGGGATAATAATAGCACCAACCCTACCAGATTATTGTAAGGATCAAAGGCAACAATGTATCTAAAGTGCTTGTAAGCAGTAACTCCTTATATAAAATGCTGGCTATTATTATCATTAGTTGTGACTCAGAGCCAGGACCAAGCAACCAACTTGTTGCTAGGCGGCCAGAGAAACCCCTAGGCGTTAAGTCTGTCTTTTGAACTCCCTTTCTTCTACTTCAACTGAAACACTAAATTTATTTTACTCTTCAATTTAGGGTGAGAAAATCCCTTTCAACTCAGATCATGCCCTGCTTACTCCATGGATCTATGAAAATCACCGCATGAATTTCACGTCGCAATTCTAGGGGTCAAGACCGAGCCAAAAACTTATGTATTCCTGCTGGCAATACAATTGCTGTTCTGTTTATATCTATATCCATATCAATATTCACAGATCTGTGTGTATGAAAAAAAAAAGACTATCCAATCCAGTCTTTCTTTCACTACCCACAATGCATTCATCATATACTACAGTCAAGTTGTACTTCCTTTATGAAGCCTTCTGATCACCTTATTATTGTTTATTGTTATTGTTTTTCAGTCATGTCCAACTCTTCCTGACCCCATTTGGGTTTTTCTTGGCAAAGACACCGGAGTGGTTTTCCGTTTCCTTTTCCTTTGCCAGTTCATTTTATAGATGAGGACACTGTGACTTGTCCAGGGTCACACAGCTAGTAAATGTCTGAGGCACCATCTCGATGCTCTAGCCCACACTGATTTCTCCCATCTCTGAATTCCTCTTGTTTTTAGCCCAGGTCTCACAATTGAATATTTAGAATCAGAAGGGAGCTTATCTAATTTAAACATCTCTCCTTGCCTGCCCTCTCGCACTCCCTACCTCTGATACAAATCTCTTTTATGACATGCCTGGCAGTTAATCGTGGAACATCTGCTTTAATATTTCTAGTGATTAAGAGTGACTACCTCATAAGGAAACTGATTTCATTTTGAGATGATTGTAATTGTAATAAACTCCTCTGTTTATATCTTAGTGAAGACTATTAGTTACTGGTGTAGCTTTCCAGGTACCTGCCAGTCCTTTGTCTGTCTGTCTGTCTCTCATCTGTCCATGAATCAATCAACAGCTAGATATCTGAGGAGAGAGCGAGGCTGCTGGCTGTACAGCTCTGCCTCACTTAAATCCAATTCACTTTCAAGTCAAGACAGCACCCTCATGGTGTCAGTCATCTTTGAGGAGGAAGGACGAATGGCAAGATAGATATCTAACTCCTGGAAAAAAAGTAGCCAACATTCTGTATCTTGTCCTGGGTCTGGATTTGTTACAGTTTATCAAAGGAGGCTGCCTGGAAGGTTCAGGAAGTCAGGGTTGTCTGTGGTTATCATGGAATAAGGGCTGTACTGGCTAAATCTGAGGAGTCCTTTTATTTGTTTTGTTGTGATAACTAGAGACGACAGTCATCCATAATTCCTTAAAAGATATAACACCAGAGATAATTTTGTTAGGTAACTCTAATTATTAATATCCAGTGAGGCACGAAACAGGGAGAAACATGCCCATTGCGAAGCTTCACCAGCGTCATAGAAGACATTTGACACAGAGTTGAAGCTGAAGAGGGGGTTCTTAGACATGATGAACTCCTCCCTTCTGAGGATGACATTGTGCTGGCTGCATTGAGCCCCAAAGCCTTCTAAAGGAGATCTATGATCACTATAATAAAAAGTGGCCATGGGAAAAGTTGAATAGATGAATGGTAACTTTTTAGGGACTTTGATAATTTCCAGAACTCATCCATCTGCACACACCACACACACACACACACACACACACACACACACTTTGGACCAAGTGGTTTCTTAAAAATTCATAATTGGAAAGAAATAGTTTTTTTGAGGTAAGGGTTGTCCCCCACGTGCCCTGTCCCTTCATGAAGTGGACTGACTGTCCAGAACCCCTTCCTGAAGCTTGCTACCCTCGCTCAATGTTCCATGCTGGAGAACTTTTGTGGTGCAATCTCCCATCAAAACTTATGTGTCCCATGTTCTATTTCCTTCCAGCCCTGTGAGGTGATTGGCTAGTTCTAATCTGATTGAACTAAATTTCCAACAGCAAATAATGGATACTCTTTCAAGATCATATATGTATCTTAACAGGCACCTTGAATGGGCAAGCTGAAAGAATTGGTTAAAATGGGAATTTCAGGCAGTAGGCTAGCTAGGTGGTACAGTGGATAGAGTGCAAGCCTGGAGTCAGGAAGATGAGTCTTCCTGAGTTCAGCTCTGGCCTCAGACACTTACTTACTAGCTGTGCGACCCTGGGCAAGTCACTTAACCCTGTTTGCCTCAGTTCTTCATCTGTAAAATGAGCTGGAGAAGGAAATGGCAAACCACTCCAGGATCTTTGCCAAGTCTCAAATCGGGTCAAGAAGATGACAACCACCACCACCATGTTGTAGAGGCTCTGTGGATTGCTTTGTGGAGGAGACCCCAAAAGGGAAAGGAAAAGATGTGATTTCCTTCCCCTGCCTGTGGTGTCTTGGCTGCAGAGTAGGGATATGCATCCGTCTCATCCATCCAGCAGTTTGAGGGAGTAGAAACACACTGGTGGTAGACCATAAATGTAAGTGTTAGGAGTGCAGACTCCCAGCATAGAATCTGAGAGTAGCAGCTACCTTTGTGGACTTAACCCATAAGTTTGAATGCACGTTGAGAAAGTCGTCTAGAATAAGGAGTTACATTGGTTTTCACTCTCAGTGGATTATTTTGAAAAGTTGCCTTAAAAAAGTAAAAATATGGATAAATCTCTTTTCCTAAAAGAAAATGCTGGGAAGATAATTTATTTTTCGTCATTCCCTAGTCAAGTGTATAATCTCTGGTCTGGATTATGTGAGCCCCAACTGGTTATATCACCTAGCAGCTCAATAGATTGCAAGCCCTTTGAGAGCAGGAATCATGGTATGTATTAGGAAGTCAGGAAATATTTCTTAAGCACCTATTATGTGCCATTTAATTTTTTTTAAGACTTCCACCTCACCTAGCAGAATCCCAAGTACCTGTTGGTGATTAATAAATATTTGTTGAACTCAATGAATGGATGAAATGTTTGTTTGAATGAGTAGATGGGCAGTTGCATTGCTTGTAGTTTAATCAGGCTACTAATTTTAAGTTTCTCTCGTGTGTGAGGAAGGGACTTAAAAGGAAAAGTCAATTTTTTTTAAAAAGCCTTAATGATTAAAATTTTGTGCCTAGAAATTTTTATTTAAACTCTCAGTGATTGACATGTGGGGGAATGCAAATGTGGGGATCATCTCCTTTATTAGTGATCTGTAAAGAACTAGAATTTTACTCAGCTGTGCAGAGCACAAAGCTGGGCCAAGCAAAAACTAAATTTCTGACCCACAAAGGCTTCCTTACTCACGAAATTTCTTATTATTCAGAGTGCATAGGCAAGGCTTCTTTCCTTTCTCATGAGAAACCTGGGGGAGGAAATGAAGATATCCTCCCAGTAGCGGGAATTAACAGAGTAGGCAACTAAATTGAGTAGAAAGAAGCCTGGCTAGGAATGAACAGCATGGCTTAGGGCTGCGGTTCTTAAATCATTTTTTGTGGCAGGGATTATGGATTCCTTTGGCAGCGTGGACTTTTCTCAGAATAATTGTTTTAAATTATTAAAGGAAATGCTAAATTTCAGTTAGAAGTTAGTGAAAATAAAAATGCACATTTTTCCCCATCGCAATTCATTGATCCTTTGTAATCTATCCATAGATTCCTTGGAGGGCTGTGGGTTCCAGATGAAGTACCTCTGGTTTAGTTAAATGGGGATTTTGAATCAAAGGATCTGGATTCAAATCTTGGCCCTGTCATTTCCTACCTGTGTGACTTCTAACATGCTGTGTAACTTCTTTCTTTGTTATAGGGGATGGTTTTCTAGGGAGGGGATATATCCAGAAATGAAATATATTTGGAAATGAAGGTGATATAAAAACAAAATGTTGTTCAGTCATGTCCAACTCTCCGGGACCCCTTTGAGATTTTTCTTGGCAAAGATCCTAGAGTAGTTTTCCATTTCCTTCTCCAGTTCATTTTATAGATGAGCAAACTGAGGCAAACAGGGTTAAGTGACTTGCCCAGGGTCACACAGCTAGTAAGGGTCTGAGGCTGGATTTGAACTCAAGAAGATGAGTCTTCCTGACTTCAGGCCTGTTACTCTATCCACTATGCCACCTAGCTGCCCCCTAAAACAAAACAAAACAAAACAAAATACATTTACAAAAAAAAAATTTTAAAGAAGTGAGTTGAGATAGATTTGTAAAAGTGAAATGCTTCATGTTCCAGATAAGAGAATTCAGAATTTCAAATGTTATAACTCCTATTATACAGTTCACACTATCCATTCCTTTCCAGCTTCTTGACTGACTGTTTGTTGCCAACTGTTGACTAACTGTTTGTTAGACTCGGGCCTTGGCATCAAATCCGAAGAAAAACAATTAAGGCTGCCCAGAGCTCCTGTATCAGAGGGCCTGATACTTTGGGTCTCAATTAACCTTTTGAAAAGGTTATGCACAGATGGCCTTCCTTGAAAAATGACTGTAAGAGGAAAAGGAAAGGGGAGTTTGTGGGTCTATTTGCTTTTCTGAGAATGCTTGACAAAGAAATAAACAGGCTAAGTGTAAATTATGAAATGAGATGCTCCTTCAATATTTCGAAAAACTGACTAGGGGAGAGGATAGGGGGTGGGGAGCTAGCTGTGCCATGTAATTAGAATGCTTGGAGTAAAAGTAATCAGGAAACAATTTGAATTAAGCAGCGATCCAGACTCCTGTGTAATGAGTTGTGTAGGCATCAAACAAAGGGCTACTTTTAGAAACTACCGTTTGATCTACACGTGGACTCCTGCATCAGGAACCAGAGAGGGGTTCTGGGGATGGCCCGGCTTCCTAGACTCTCCTCTTCAAAGATCAGGCATCATTCCTCCTCAGGAAAATCACCAGGAAGACACGGCTGGGGATTCCAGCCACCTCTGAAGCTCGCTTCAATATGGTGTTTCTCCATAGGCCAACATTGCTAATTCTGATCCTTTAGTTGAGTTTGCACTGACGGAGTGGAGGAGGGGCTCTGCAGGGTATGGTGGAAGGAGGCCCAGGGGGATTAAAGGACTTTCCCAAGGCCACACAGGTAAAATGACAGGATTTCAAATTTAGAGTTGGAGGGAACCTCAAAAGTCATCTGGCCCAGCCCTCTAAATTCATACACGAGGAAAATGAGGCCTAGAGATTTACTCAGAGTCCCATAGGCAGAAAGAGGGAAGGACTAGGATTTCAAACCAGGTCCACTGCCTCCATAGTCGGGATTTTCTTCCCCTCATTACATCACGGTCTGACTTTCCCACTTATGGCCTGTTGGACTGTAGGCAAGTTCCCCATTTCATTTATAAACTAAGAGGGTAAAACTAGATCATGGGATCTTCAATACAGAGCTAGAAGGGACCTCAGAAACCATTATTTCATAGATGAGGAAACTGAGGCCCAGGAAAGAGAAGGAACTTGCCCAGGGCCACATACAGAATCGTGGCTCTAGAGCTGGAAGAGATACCACA